ATGTTAAATGAAGAGCAGAATATTTTAATTGTAATGAGCAAGGTGGGGAGAGTATCAGAAGATGAGGCTGAACGAGAAGGCCTAGGTTAGAATAAGTTGAGGGGTTTCCTGGCCAAATCTAGATATTGGAACACTCTTCATTGTGAATAATAGAATAGTAGGGAGAAAAAGAAGATGTGTAAGGTTCTTGGTGTAATTAAGAAAGAAAGGGTGTTGGCCTGAATAGAAGTAATGTACAATTAGAATTAAGAGTAGTGGTCAGATTCTGAAAATGTTTAGTAAATAAAATCAGTGCAGTGTGAATTGAGTTGGGGAATAAGACACAAAGAAGGCAGAAGAAGTTTAATATCATAACATTTTGCTGCCTTCCTGCACTTGGAAGTTAGGTATTATTTTTTACTGTATGGAGGAGAAAATGAAGGATGGAAATAGAAGAAAATTAGCAGTTCAATTTTAAAAGTTCAATTGAATGAGGTTGTGGGATAATTTTAAGTGAAGTCTCATTGTTGGACATATGGGTTTCCATATAGGATCCACATCTGGGCTGATCTGTAAATTTAAGTAATTTATTTATTATTTTAAACTTATAATTGATGCTATGAGAATTTATAGATTATGAAAAGAAGATCTCAAGTCAAATGTCTTGAATTGTTTTTTATAAAAATTATTTTATTTATTTAATTGGAAAATAAATATTTTATATACTTATGTACAAAATGATGTTTGAAATATATATTGTAGAATCCCTAAAGGGCTAAATAACATATGCATTACCTCACATGCTTATCTTTTTTTGTGATCACAGCACTTAAAATTTACACTGTCAAACAATTTTCAAGAATACATCACTAACTATAGTCACTGTGTGGTGCAATAGATTTCTTAAACTTATTTCTCTTATCTAATTGAAATGTTGTTTCCTTTGATCAACATCTCCCCAAACTTCCTGTCTTCTCCTAATCACCACCATTCTACCTTCTGCTTTTATGAGTTTAACTTTTTTAGAGTCTACACATCAGTGAGGTCATATAGTATTTGTTTTTTGGTGCCCATCTTGGCTTATTTTATTTAATATAATATTATCCACGTTCATCAATGTTGTCACAAATGACAGGATTTTTTTCATTTCTCTAAAGCTGAATACTGTTGCATTACGATATTTTCTCCATCCATTCATCCATCTACAGATACTTAGGTTGATTTTATATCTTGCCTATTGTGAATAATGCTGCAGTCACAATGGAAGTGTATATGTCTTTTCAACATACTTACTTAATGTTTAAAATATATACTAAATATTTGGATTGCTACATCATTTTTAACATTTTTAATTCATTTTAATTTTTAACTTTTTGAGGAGTTTCCTATTGTTTTTCATTATGACTGTACTAATTTATATTTTCACCAACAGTATATTAGAGTTCCTTTTTTTCTACATCATTTCCAACACTTGTTATCTTTCTTTTTATATAATACCCATTGTAATCACTCTAACAGGTGTGAGGCAATATCTCATTGTGGTATTAATCTCCCTAGTGATCAGAGATGTTGAGCATTTTGTATATACCTGTTGTCCGTTTATGCATCTTCCTTTGAAAAATGTCTATTTTGGTCCTTGATTCATTTTGTAATATTTATTTTCTTCCTATTGAATTATGTTTCTTATATATTTTGAATATTAATATCTTATCAGATATATGGATTCAAATATTTACTCCTATTCTGTTGGTTGTCTCTTCACACTCCTGTTTCCTTGGCTTTGCAAAAGCTTTTTAGTTTGATGTAATCTCATATCTTAATTTTGCTTTCTTTTCCCATGTTTTTGGTGTTACATCCAAAAATCATTGTCTATACCAATGTCATTAAGCTTTCCCATGTTTTCGTGTAGTAGTTTAATAGTTTCAGTTATTAGGCTTATGTTTTTAATCCATTGAGTTGATTTTTGTATATGATGACAGATAAGGGCCCAATTTCATTCTTCTGCTCTTGGATATTTAATTTTCCCAACATCATTTATCGAAGAAAATGTCCTTAGCCTATTGTGTGTTCTTGAAATTTTGTCAAAAATAAATTTACTACAAATAACTGGGTTTATTTCTGGCCTTTTTGTTCTATTCCACTGTTCTCTGTGTTTGTTTTTATGCCAGTACTATGTTTGATTATTATAACTTTGCAGTATATTTTAAAATCAGGTTGTGTGCTGCCTCCAGTTTTGTTCTTTACTCAAGAATGCTTTGGTTATTTGAATTTTTTCATAATTCCATATGAATTTTAAAGTTGATTTTCCTATTTCTGTAAAAAATGCCATTGGAGGTTTAATAGGAATTGTATTGAATTCATAGATTTCTTGGGTAGTATAGACATAATAATATTTTCCAATTCATGAACACAGGGTATTTTTCCATTTTTATGAATCTCATTCAGTTTCTTCTGTCAATGTTTTATAGTTATGAGTATATACGTCTTTAACTTTTTGGTTACATTTATTCCTTATTATTTCCTGAAATTTTTTTATAGCCATTATCAATGAGATTTTTATTATCCAATTTTTTAGTTTGTTGTTATTATAAAAATGATACTAATTTTTGCATGTTGTTTTTGTATCCTTCAACCTTACTGTATTTGTGTATTAGTTCTAACAGATTTTTGGTGGAGCATTTAGGGTTTTCTTAATATATGTAAGATCATGTCATTCATAAACAGGACACATTAACTTCTTCCTCTCCTATTTTGATGTCTTTAAATTCTTTCTGTTGTCTAATTCTTCTGGTTAGGATTTCTGGAATAGAAGTGGTGAAAGTGGGTATGTTTGTCCTCTTTCTAATTTTTGAAGAAAAGCTTTTATCTTTTTACCACTGAGTATGATGTTAGCTGTGTGTTTGTTATATGTGGCATTTATTGTGTTGAAAACCTCTTTAGGTTAATTGCTTATCATATTTCTCCACATATTCATTCAGTCAATACTATATTAGTTTACTAAGCATGCAAATAAGTTAAACAGAACTTCGGAACTCAGATAGAGTAGACATTCCATAAACTAACCTGCGTACTCTTTGCAAATCTTCACATTCTCTGTTCCGACACCTACCTAGCATTTAAAACCAACGTTTTTGTTTTGTCTTCTAAGAAGCCTCTGTAAACTCTCCTCCTGGAATTTTCTCATCTTTTCTGAATTCCTTAAGCATCTTATCTGTGTTCTCTTAAGAAGCTCTCCATCAACTGTCATGTAATGTAGTTTGATGACTTAAGAGTTGGGGCTCTGGATTCTGAACACTTGTACTTCTGTTCCTACTCCGGAGTTACTATATACTTTGTTTTCTTTTCACAAGATTACACTCAATTTCTTAAGTAACTTATCTGTATATGTTTCCTTTTCCATATAAAAGAGCTTAATATACATTTTGCATGGGGTTTTTGTGAAATTTCAGTAAAACACTTGACCTCATGGGGGTTCAACATGTATTAACTATTATTACTGAAAGCCTGTCATGGTTAACTCTATGGAATGTGGTGTAAAAATAGGATTTGAAACCTAATTCATGTGATTTAGGGCAACCTATTATTTAAATGATTTATAAAATTGATAAAATAATAAATATTCTACTGGTTTATTGTGAGGGTCCAGTATACTACTATTTGTAAAATACTTAGAAGAGAGATTTGTAAATAATAATGATAATTACTGATGTGATATAATAATAATAATGATAATTACTGATTTATTGTATCACTTTAATAATGATAATTACTGATTTATTGATTCTAATAATAATAATTATTGATTTATTAAATCATTATAATAATGATAATTACTGACACTATTAATAATCATGATAATTACTCATATGATATAATGATAATGATGATTGTCATTGCTTTATATGAATTCATTTTCAATCACAAAAAATACATAGGAGATGTTACATTTATTATATGCTATTAGGTAACTTTTTCTCCTGTTTTGTAACTTCCATGTGTCTTTCTAATAATGGTTGGTTCATTATTGACATATGAACTCAAGATAACCTGGAAAATGGGTCTGGTACTTCTGGGCCAAAATTTTGTTCAATGTCCTGACATGTTTTCTTTAGAAAATGTATTTTGCGTGAAAGCTATCCTTATATCTAGATGAACTAGATAACAATCTTCATAGAGTTAACTGAGAAGACAGGAGATATCTGGCTTTTCCACATACAATCTGCTTAAATCATATCTCTTGTATTGAAATAAATGATTTATTACTTTGATATATATGTATATATCATATATATAAGTATATATATGTAGATATATATAGATATATATAGATATTTCCTGGTAAAAATTTGAATTATGCCAAGGAGTAATACAATAACTCAGTGTCATATTAATCTACCATAATATTTGTTAAATATTTTCAGTTCTAAATTTTGGTTTGAAAAAAGACGCTAAAGAATTAGGTATCCAGATGCATTTACCCACTGAATGATTAAGTTGGATGCTTACTTATGTATTCAGCAAGCAGATTAAGTACTTTTAAGCATTTTGAGCAGAAAATTCTTAATTAGCACTATTGGGTATAGCTGTGTGTTAAAAAATGCAAATTCAAAGATATAGTTATTTCACCAAGGAAGCTAAATACAGAGAAAAGGAAAGATCCTACAGTCTAGTAGGAATAATTTGCAGTCTAGACAAGAGAATGGACTGTCCTGGATGCACACATTTCAGGTAGATCATCATGAGCTTTGAGCAAGAGAAAGAGAAATCTGAATACAGTGGATGATCAGGAAATTAGCCTTAGGCCCAATGCCGCAGAAAGGAAAAAGACAAGCTATAAAAACCAAATTTAAATGGCAATGAATTGTTAAACACAGTCTGGTAGGAATTTGATGGGTCAGAGAATGCTACAGGTACAAAGAAATAGTGAGTATTTGTTGAAGACATGGTAAGACAGAAGGTATTTTCAAGGATGTTTCACATAACAGAGTTTTGTCTAAAGCAAGGGCAAAACTCTTTAAGCTATGCCCATATTTGAAGGAGTCTTTATATTCCCGACAGAAGACAGCGGCAAACAAAACCTCCATAAGAATTTAGAAGCTCTGTTCAAACGTGCCCTTCGGAGTACATCAGATAACTCGGTGAAAAAAAGATTTCTCGAATTGAAGAAAGAGGAAAAGAAAAAACAAAAGAAAAAAAAAGAAAGAGGAAAAGAAGACGGGCCCCTCGTGACAAACCACATGCCAAAGGACAACATGGCTGAACAAACATCTATGCAGATCCTATCTACTACGAATCAAAAGTCGACCAGTGTAAAAAGTAAGACTGGATATTTTACAACGGATATCTCCAATGTTTTAGAATCGATTCAATTCTAAGACCCATGCAGTGACTTCTGTGATCCCTCATCCTACCTTTATGAAACTATCATTTTCACTAAACCTATAATTTTTCTTTCAGGGACTACCTTGTCTTTTGTGGGGTGGGATCCAGTTTCCAATTGGCTAGAAGGCTGAGTCCTTGGGTTCAGACTGTGCATGGAAATAATTAATAGTAGAGGCTTGTAGTAAGACATACTCAAACCTAAACCTAGATTCTGTCATTAATAATCTATGTCACTTCCTGCATGTATCTTAACTTCTCTTGCTCCCAAATCATCAGTCTTACTGCCCATGAAATGAGGACAATTTCAGTACTTTCTCACAAGACTGTGGAAGGTTAGAAACATTGTGCTGGTAGGCATCAACATGCCAGCAACTCCCAAGATGTTAGCTGTCATCCAGAACTCTCCTCTGAGCTCCAGACCCATTTAGCTCTAGATGCATTTTCAGCAATTCTGCTCCAGTGTTTCATTGGCTTTATTAAACTAATTTTTACCTAAGAATTAAACACTTTTTCTTCTAAACAAATTTGTTCCCACTTTAACCCCTTTCCATTTTAGGAAAAGAAACTAATATATATCAAATTTCTCCCACCAGAATGCAACTGGTTGCTTTACCAATGACTGGCAGTAATTGGTAGAAGGACAGGCACAACAATTTATCACTGATATCTATATTTTCCAATAAAATTTCAAATTAAGCTAAGGTGTAGTAATTAACCTGATGTCACATAAATTCACCATGCTAGATTGGTTGTCATATTATTTTCAATTTCAAATTTTGATTGAGGAAAAGATCCTAAAAAATTAGGACTGTAGATGCAGTCATCCATTTGTTCATTAAGTCATGTATTCAGCAAGCATGCTAAGTACTTTTAAGCGTTTTGAGCACAAAGATGTTAATGAGCACAAAGATGTGGGTATAGGATGTGTGCTAAAAATGCACATTAAAAGGTATGGTGTTTTCCCCAAGGAAACTAACTACAACAAAGAGGCCAGATTGTATAGTTTAGTAGTATTTACAGTCTAGACAAGAGCATGGACTGTCCTGGGAGTGTGCCTTTCAGGTAAATCATCATCATCATGAACTGGGAACAAGAGAAAGAGAAATATGAAAACAGCAGGTGACCAGGAAGTTAGCATTATGCCCAGTGCCACAGAAAGGAGAAGAAAAGCTATAAAAACAAATTTAAGAGGAAATGAATTGCTAAGCACAGTCTGGTATGAATTTGATGGGTGAGAGAACTCTGCAGGTGCAAAAATAAGGGTGTGTTATTCGTTGGGGACATGGTAAAATAGAATGTATTTTCAGAAGAGTTCCATATTACAGAGTTATGTCTTAGGTGAGGGCAGAACTCTTTAAGCTGTGCCCATAGTTAAAGGAGTCTTTCTCTTCCTGACAGGAGACAATCGCAAAAAAGAAATACTTAAGGTGTTGGAATACCTGGGCAAAGATATGCTTCATGGTGTTTTTAATCACTTGGCAAAACACGATGTTCTGACATTGAAGGAAGAGGAAAAGAAAAAATATTACGATGCCAAAATTGAAGACAAGGCCCTGATCTTGGTAGACTCTGTGCGAAAGAATCGCGTGGCTCATCAAAGGTTTACCCAAACCCTTCTCAATATGGACCAAAGGATCACCAGTGTAAAACGTAAGGCTGCATCTAACACAATAAATATGTTAAATTTTCCAGAATATATTCAACTCCAAGGCCCATGCAGTGTTATCTGTGATCCTCCTACACTTTCATTTCTAAACTCTCATTTTCAGTAAACATGTCATCGTCCTGTTAGAGACCACCTTATCTTTTATGGAATGAGAACAAATTTCCAATTAGCCAAAAATCTGTGTCCTTGTGTGTAGACTGTGCACAGAAATAGGTAATAGGGGAGATTTTTTAGTAGGGGATACTTAAACCTAAAGTTAGATTCTGTCACATGTGAACTATGCAGCTTCAGGCAAGTTTCTTAACCTTCCATTCTCCCTAGTCATCAGTCTTACCACCTGTGAAATGTGGACAATTCCAGTACTTTCTCACTAGACTGTCTACAGCTAGAAACATTGTAATGTCAGGCACCACATGCCAACAACTTCCAAGATATTAGCTCTCATAACTCTCTCATCTGAGCTCCAGACTCATTTAGCTCTAGTGGCATATTCAACAATTCTGCTCCAGTGTTTCACTGGCATCACAAAATGAATACAGCTAAAATTAAACGCTTTGTTTTCCAGAATAAACGTGCTCCACTTTTAACCCTTTTCCGCTTCAGTAAAAAGAAGTAATATGCACCAAGTTTCTGCTACCAGAATGTAACTGGTTTCTTCACCAATTAATAAGAGAAATTAATGGAGATCCTGGCACATAGCAGATACCTAATTAATGTGTGATAAATAAACAAATGAAGTGTATGCATGCAATAAAGAGTGCTTTCTTAATTATTATTTGGGCACCACAAATTAGAATTTTCCAATGCTTACTCATTTCTGTGAGTTACAAAATTATGATCAGGGAACTACTATAAAATGTTTAAATTTTATAACAGTTCAAAACCTTTGACACAGATTGAATTATCAGAATTATTAGAGCCTAAATACTCTCAGATTAATGTTTCCCAGGGATGAACTCAATTTACCATAGACTTTAAACTGAAATCTTCAGCCCTGAACTACTACAGTTTACCAATAATCATATATGATCATGAACACAAAGCAACATAAATTGTTCAAACGTCACTACACAAAATAAACTCCCCTTCTCTATGGGGAAAGTTTCCCCTCAACAGAAACCACATGCTAGTATAGTTGTCCAAGATTTTAGGCCAGGATGCATTCTTATTAGTATTTAAACTGGTCTTTTGCAAGTATTTTCCTTTTCCTCAAACCTGGAATGGCAGGGGGAAAATATTCGTTTTAAAAAATCAGAGATAATGCAGCAAATAGGAATCATATTTATAGCAATAAGGGCTTCAAAATGATTTTAGCAATCCCAGATATCATATATGATGAGCACTAAATTATAAACTGAAATAGCCTATCTGATCAGCAGAGGCTGTGGCAGGAAGGAGGCAGCTGCAAATCCCTGCAGCAGGGGTCCAGTGGCTCCCTGCACTCTGTCTGCGTTTGGATTCTCCAGAAAGATCAATCCCAGAACACTTTGAGTACACTGGCCCAGCATACCAGGAAGCTGGGTGGGCTGGGCTATTAGAAGGGGTACAGGCCTTGGACAGGTCTTTGGATATGATTGTAATTCTGAGGGTTTCCAGCAGAGCATTGGATTCTGGAGGGCAGGATAAGAAGAATCCTAGCTATTCGTTTGTTATTTAACAAAGTCTTGTATGTACACACACACACACACACTTATGTACACATATATATACACACACACACATATATACACATACACACACTATATAACAATGATGTGATTTAGTCAGAGAGATAACCATGTAAGTCCCTACGTGATGTGGGAAATTGCTTTTCTGATCCTGTACCACTCCACCACTCCCTTTCTTGTGTCAATGTAAAGAGATTGTTGAGCAGATTCCTGAGAGATTCCTGTTTCATTAGATAACAGATAAGACTCAAATTGAAATTTTTATCTAAACTCCTGATTTCCACATTACTTCTTGTTGCCCTGCCAGGCTAATAGAAACTCTCTTTGGAAGCAGATTGTACTATAATATTTATTATTTTGTAATAAAATAGTATTTTTATACTAATTCTACTACTGGATATAAGATAGAATTTCTCTCTAATTTCTAATTTTACTGGAAAACACCTGTTCTACACACAGACACATAAAAGTCATTAGGAGATGACTGTTAAGTTGGAAGTTCTCCAGACCTTTAAACAGGAAAACATACCCTCAGACCAGGAATATCCCAGGACCCTGGATGTCTTCACATTGGCAGAATTTTCTGAAATGAGAAGAAAAAGCATCTGTCACTGTTTAATCTATGAAAAAATTGATGCTTAGAAGGTTTGGTTTCCTTACACACTTATAACTTATTGTATTCCCAGAACTCAGGCTTTTATCATACACTTTAGCAAGACATTTACTTTAAAATATTATTAAAAATGAACAGAAACAAATGATAGAAATATAAAAAATACATGAAATATTACAAAACAATGCAAATTTTATACAGAATAATATTACTTTACTCATGATTCCTATGTCTTGGTTGGATCACTTAACCAAACATAAAAATATGCCTGTCCATTCCTTTTATGAAAAGAAATCTTCTTATTAGATCTTAGTAAACTTTTCTTCTAGTTTGTATATGTAAATTTCTTTTTCTTTTCCAGAAGGAGGGCTCAATAATCTCCCAGTTTTTCGCACAATATCGGTTAAAAGAGATCAATATTACATTTCACAAGGGGATAGATCAGAATTACTCAGAAGCCAACTTATCCAAAAGAGATGTATTATTTCCTCACATTATAAAATATGAGTTGGACAGTGTTGGCTGCTCCAGCAGTTTAGAGACAAGATGTCCAGAGTTATGTCAGAATCTCATACAAACATTTGTCCCTTTGACCTTGGACACAGTACTATTGTCACTAGACGACATTTCTTCATAAATAGGTGATTTCACAATTTGTTGAAAGATAGCTGAAGCCTATTTCCTCTAGAAAAATTAGTAATTAACATAAAGGTTGCTTAAAAATTACCAGGATGGTACAGAATTCAATATTCTGTTAAGTGTTTGCTGTATGCATATATCTGTATGTAGTGTGAACTAGGAGGGGACTATCACTCCAAAATACGATGTTGTCCCATCCAGTTTTGTAGCCACCAGACAGATGTAGCTATTAAGTACTTAACTTGTGGCTAGTGACACATGTTGAAATAATAATATTTTGAATATATTATTTAAATAAATACATTATTAAAATTATTTTTACCTTTTGTAAATGTGATATTAGAGAATTTAATATTGCACATGGAACACACATTGTATTTCAAATAGATAGCACTCTGACAAGTATTAGCACACTCTTGCCCTGACACAGCAAAAAGTCCAAATAAATAAATGAGTAACTTAGGGTAAAACCACTGGAAAAATCAAACTGTTTTTCTGAATATAGAAAAGCCAAATTTTTTTTTTTTTTTTTTTTTTTTTTTGAGACGGAGTCTTGCTCTGTCGCCCAGGCTGGAGTGCAGTGGCTGGATCTCAGCTCACTGCAAGCTCCGCCTCCCGGGTTTACGCCATTCTCCTGCCTCAGCCTCCCGAGTAGCTGGGACTACAGGCGCCCGCCACCTCGCCCGGCTAGTTTTTTTTTTTTTTTTTTTTTTTAGTAGAGACGGGGTTTCACCGTGTTAGCCAGGATGGTCTCGATCTCCTGACCTCGTGATCCGCCCATCTCGGCCTCCCAAAGTGCTGGGATTACAGGCTTGAGCCACCGCGCCCGGCCACAAAAGCCAAATTTAACTCTAAATCATCAAGAGTTTTTCTCCAGAATAATCAGAATCTATAACTGCATTTTTTTTCTTGGTGGGGTTGGGGGAGATCTGCTTTCTCTGTCAGGGAATTCCCACAATACATTTCCTTAAGCTGGAAATTAGGTACAGCTATAACCCCTACATACAAAGAAGTCTTTTCCTAAGATTTCTCTCTCTCTCTCAAAGTTCTTAGGTGATAAATTCGGTCACAGGGGCAGAAGTCATAATTTTTTAATATATATATATATATATATTTATTATTATTATACTTTAAGTTCTAAGGTACATGTGCATAACGTGCAGGTTTGTTACATATGTATACATGTGCCATGTAGTGCTGCACTTATTAACTCGTAATTTACATTAGGCATATCTCCTAATGCTATCCGTCCTCCCTCCCCCCACCCCATGACAGGCCCCAGTGTGTGATGTTCCCCTTCCTGTGTCCAAGTGTTTTCATTGTTCAATTCTCACCTATGAGTGAGAACATGCAGTGTTTGGCTTTTTGTCCTTGTGATAGCTTACGGAGAATGAGGTTTCCAGCTTCATCCATGTCCCTACAGAGGACATGAACTCATCCTTTTTTTATGGCTGCATAGTATTCCATTGTGTATATGTGTCACAGTTTTTTTTAATCCAGTCTATCATTGATGAACATTTGGCTTGGTTACAAGTCTTTGCTATTGTGAATAGTGCCACAATAAACATACGTATGCATGTGTCTTTATAATAGCATGATTTATAATCCTTTGGGTATATACCCAGTAATGGGA